ACCGAGAGAAATTTAATTTCTGCTGCTTTGGCTTAATACTCTCGTCCTCTGTATTTTTTCTCTTCTCAGTAAGTGCAGTGGTCGCATGACACCGTTCGAGATGTTTTTTTAAATTGCTGGTGCTATTTCGCGACGTCGATAGTTCTTTCGGGTTTGGACAAAGGTTGCATTTGACTATGACGTTCTTCTTGTCCTTATCTCTGACAAACTCGAAGTAATGGGCATACGTCCATCTCGCGAAAGTACAGTCTTCTGCCATCTTTACCCAATTAGCCACTCTTCCACTTGCCAGCGCGAGCACAGAAGCCGTAATCTCGCGGGTCGCGGCACTCCTGTAAAACACGCCCTAAACACGCCTTCACTGTACTGGACTACATACATAGAGGGAGAATATGAATTAAATAAATCGCTATGCAAATGTGTCAGAAACGGTCATTTAGTCTTCTAACTTGGACACCATATGCGGCTATTTGACTGCACGAACAGGTAATAACTTGCATCTTTCATTCCTTCGTCTCGTCTCGCGGTCTTGTTTTTTTTTTTTTTTTTTACTATAAAATTTTGGGCTAAAAGTGTGTTGTAACGGAAGCGTTACTGAACATGTACCGAGTAAAATATTACTGAAAATTGATTGGTAATGCCTTACACTACTGCGTTACAGCAAAAAGTAATATGTTACTGTAATGCATTACTTTTGTAACGCGTTACTCCCAACACTGATCTTATGTCATTGCAAACGTGCACGCCGCACGTAGAAATCAGAACGTGGGTAAATATTGTGTATTTACTTATTTATTTTTTAGTAAATTGCTTCTATTATGCGCATAAGTGAACAATACAGGTTTATTGTGCGTGTGTCACATAAGGTGGACTTCTGCTGCTCGCAAGCGGACTCTTAAGAAGACAGTGGATTTACAATTGTGTTGCTCTGATTCCAATTTTCTACACTGCCCCAGCTGTGATGTCTCCTCTGCTCCCACAGGAGCTCTGATTTCCTGGCTAATTTTCTACACTGCCCCAGCAGTGACGTTTCCTCTGCTCCCACATGAGCTCTGTTTCTCTGGCTAATTTTCTCCACTGCCCCAGCAACGACTTCTACTCTGCTCCCAATGGAGCTCTGTTTCTCTGGCTAATTTTCTACACTGCCCCAGCAGTGATGTCTTCTCTGCTCCCAATGGAGCTTTGTTTCTCTGGCTAATTTTCTCCACTGCCCCAGCAGCGACATCTACTCTGCTCCCAATGGAGCTCTGTTTCTCTGGCTAATTTTCTACACTGCCCCAGCAGTGATGTCTCCTCTGCTCCCACAGGAGCTCTGTTTCTCTGGCTAATTTTTCTACTCTGCCCCAGCAGTGATGTCTCATCTGCTCCCACTGGAGCTCTGTTTCTCTGGCTAATTTGGTACTCTGCCCCAGCAGTGACGTCTCCTCTGCTCCCACAGGAGCTCTGTTTCTCTGGCTAATTTTTCTACTCTGCCCCAACAGTGATGTGTACTCTGCTCCCACAGGAGCTCTGTTTCCCTGGCTAATTTTCTACACTGCCCCAGCAGTGATGTCTACTCTGCTCCCACAGGAGCTCTGTTTCTCTGGCTAATTTTTCTACTCTGCCCCAACAGTGACGTCTCCTCTGCTCCCACAGGAGCTCTGTTTCCCTGGCTAATTTTTCTACTCTGCCCCAGCAGTGATGTCTACTCTGCTCCCACAGGAGACTTGTTTCTCTGGCTAATTTTCTACACTTGCCCCAGCAGTGATGTCTACTCTGCTCCCGCAGTGGCGCGTGCAGCTGGACGACTCCGCTCTGTGTGTGTACCATGAGCGCTCCGACTGACCTGAGAGAAACGTTTACAGTCTGAATATTTCAGCAGTTCTTATGCGTGTACCGTATTTCTCTCGACTGAACCAGCGATATTAATCGTTCGTTGGTTTGATTATTTCCTTTCCATGAATTGGCCACACGCGCGTGCATAACGGTCTGAAATAGGGCTGTGAATCTTTGGGTAGACAGCGAATCGATTCGATTCACGATTCATAGGTTTTCGATTCGATTCATGAACGATTTGTGCAAATTCAGAACGATTTGATTCGATGCGATTCACATCCAAATTCGATGCGATTCGATTAATTCGATTCGATTCTTAATTTTTTATATGCATTATAGTATTATTTCAATGCTTCACCCATCTTTGTCTGGGTTTGAATTAGCCTACAGCGGCCTTCAGGGATCAGATAGTGGGGATTTTGTCCATTGTTAATGTTAGTTCATGTTTGTTTTTAATTTTAATGAATATATTATTATAAAAAAAATTCAATGGCCTACAAATTAGCATTTGCAAGTAGCAAATATTTTGAAAAAGGCTTTTAAAGTATTGCATTAAATGACGTATGCAAAAATTAATGGAGACGTTTTCATTAGTTATATTTTGCGTCCTCTCAGTGCACTCGTTATCATCTTTTCACTGGATTTTGCTCGCGCTCGGTCCCATAGCTCTCATGCTTTCATAACGTTAACTACAGATTTTTGAGCAGTCCATGTTATTTGAGCTCTCCAGCTGAGCTCTCTGTCGAGAAAGCAATAGTTTTGAGGCAAACCGCTCAAGCCATTGATAAACCTGCAATGCCATTGCGTGGGCTCTATGAAATAAAACGCTTTCATTCATTTCAGTCTCTCGCTCGCTTTCCCTCTCTGCCGAGTGCGTGCAGCCGTGTGTGAACGCGCGATACGCGGTTTGGAGCACAACCTCTGTCTCGTATGCACGCTCGCTCTAGATTCCGGGAGATTTTAACTAATTTGCGGTAATACAAGCTGATCACGACATGAGTAGCTCAACAGGTAGAAAGATAAACTCATCTTTCAGGCATTTGACCGACCGGGCTTCAGCGTGAGAAATCAGGGGTGTGTGAGCGCCTGACACCAATCAAATGCGGATGTCGTATGACGGCCAATGCGTGAGGCAGCTTGTACCAAGAACACTTTAAGGTTGTGTTTATATATTTTAAACCACTGAATCGCTATAAAATCGTGATTAATTCGATTCTTAGCCTTTTAAATCGATTATTCACGTAAATAAACGATTCACGATTCAAAATACATGTTTCAGGATCGATGCATATGCATCGCCAGGATTTATAATCGATGCATCGAGAAAACGAGTGAATCGTTACACCCCTAGTCTGAAACGATTCGGATTTGTCCACCTGAAGCGGTTTCTCGGTCAGTAACAACAAATAGAGAACAAAATAGCGCTGGTTTCAGTTGTTTCACTTGTTTACTTTGAACTAGGCAGCACAGGCCAGTGGATAACAGCCCATTCTCACTCCCAAGGCGTCACCTAACTGACGCCTTGGGAAGCATTTGACCATGCTTCAATATCTGACGCTTTAGGCGCCATTTAGCGTCAGTTAGATGACGCCCTAGGATCGCGTGTACCCTACCCCCACCCCATACCTAAACCTAACCGCGTCCTCTAACTGACGCTTTCCTTTAGCGTCAGTTAGATGACGCCGTAGGATCGCGTCATGTAAGTGACGCTAAAGGGCGCCTAAAACGTCAAATATTGAAGCATGGTCAAAGGTGATGCCTTGGGGTGAGAATGTGTTGCGGATAACGGAACGCAAAGCTTAAAGGCCCTTTCACACTGAACGCGATTTTGACGCGCGAATAATTCGCGCGATGGTTTTATTTTTTGATCAGCTGTTTGTGTAATGAGTGCTTCCACACCGAACGCGAATCTGCTGCGGCGAAAAAACGACTTTTATTTTTTTCGCTTCGATGTCGATTTTTGAGGCGAAAGAAAAGGCTTCAGCCAATCATATACAGGGAAACAAAGGTGACGTGACCGCAGCAATGACGGACGGACCTTCTGATTGCTTGTGTGTCGAGTCTGTGAATAAATATCTGAAACAAGGACTGGTGGGACGTTGTGCTCGTTCGTTCGTATCGAGCCCAACCGGGTGTTTACAAGGCTTTTCAGTCCATTTGAGCCTTCAATACGTTTACTAAAAGTGTTTATTTGATTGCATGTAAACGTAGCCCCTGATGAATGGGACAGCTCACCTTCTGCCATATGTTTCTAGCTCCGGTAGTGGGTGCCCCAAACCTTCTTTTCTGCTTTTAAATAAAATAAAAAGCTTGTCTTCACTGGATGATAATGATAGTGATGAAGAAGCTATGTGCCACGTCCCGCAAGTCATAGCACTGTACCGCATTTTTTTTGTCTGCATCCTTTTATTTAATCGTCCTTTAAATAACAATTCTACAATTTAAAAAAATGTAATAAGAAAACATAGAAAATGCACAGCACAGACGTTAATGGAGCCATCACAAACAAACAAACTCTTCGTGGAGAGAGTGTTTGCTCTGATGAATGCTGCGTGGACAAGGAACCAGGCAACTGTGGACCTAAAGTGAACTGGTGAAAGTGAGCTCCACCTGCCAGTACCCAGATAGCAAATTGGCCTTGGGCCGGATCTGGCTTAATTTCGGCTGAGATTTTGGCCCACATACCGCATGGAATTACGGGCCAAGGTTGGCCCAAGTGCTGTTTGCCGTAAGTCAACCAGATCAAAGCCGTGAGCAAACCAAAACTCGCCAAGAGCTTTGCAGTGTACCCAGATATTACCCAGAACTGGGCCAAAACAACGCCGTACTCCCCATATGTCAGCCAGACAAAAGCCAAACTGCCACCACCTTTAGGCCAGAACTCAGCCACATCTTATCCAGAAGCTGCAGAAAACAGCCATAACTGGGCCAATATTATACCAGAGTCCCCAAAACTGAACCAGAAATTATTCCTGTGTAAAACAAGGTATAATAAAAAAAATGACACTACAGAAATGCAAAGAACAATATTTTATTGAGAATGGAAGAAAATCTCAGCCAGATAAAAGGATAAACAACAAAATACAAGCCAATACTAGAGTAAGACAAAACAAAATATAACTATAATTCACATTACAAGAATAATAAAAAGACAGCAATAAATTAAAATGTTACAAAAATGTGTATGTGGCATTCTTAAATAATGAGATACAAAAATTAACAAAAATATGTTGGCCGAGAGATCTCAAAGTCCTGCAACAGAAGAAAACATGCAAACAAGAAAAACACCAGCAAGTCAAGACATCAGTTTCACAACACACTTGCTGCAAATACAATGCAAACAATAAATAATAATAAAAATAAAACAATGAACACCATTGTCGAGTAGATATTTGTTGGTCGGACATTTGGAGAGCATTTATGTATTTGGTTGTGTTTTAGCACATGTGATAAAGATGTTCTTATTTTACAGGGGTTTTTTTCTGTTTGCATCCATTTTCTTCTGTTGCAGAATGTTGAGACCTCTCAGCCACCGTACTAAAAAGCAACAGACACTGCATGAAAAGTGGGATTTTCGTCAGTAAGCGGCACTGTAGATTGTCGTGGAAGTTCAGGTTTACGACTGCACACGGCAATTTACAGGTAACACTCAAAACTGCTGTGAATTGCCGGAAATTGACGTGGGCCTTGCTTGGCAGTTGTCCCCCCATTGTCCCCCCTTCTCCTAAATCTAGAGGAGGCTTTGACATGTAAATGAAAATGCTGTGAGCTATACACATGCAAATAAGGGTAGGGGAGTTTCACCCCAGGTAACATTTTTCTGAAAGGTTTAACTTCATTCTAAGACAAGATCAGGCTCAGTATAACCTAATTGCTGTGTTTTTTTTGTTTTTTGTTTTTTTAACATTGCACATAATGCACAACAATTACAACAATAACATGACATCCAAAAAGATAACAATCAACAAATAATAATTTCACAATAAATAAGAAACAAATAAAAATAGGAAAGAATTGAACAAATGAAATAAAAACAGGAAAGGGACTATCTCTATTGTGTATAATATTATGATTTAAGAGAAAGTTAGAAACCAGTAATTTGTACTATTTAAAGAAAGAAAATTAGCTTCAATTAGCTTCAATATTCTTTAGCAAATACAATTGTTTCACTACATTTTTATCGATACATTTGAGAGACAGAATATACTGAAAACTAAAAATTAGACCAAAAAAAAAAAAACTTCAAACAAGGTTTAGAATTATTCATTTTACTCTTATAAATATGAAATTTTCCTAATAAAATTATAAGATTCATCATAACATTTACGGAAGCAGTTTTCAAAATATATGATAACATCTTTGATGTTAATTCACAGTTATAAACAGATGTTTTTTGTTTTTGTTTTTACAATTTTTTTGACTGGTTTATTTAATTTAAGTAACCTAATAAAGTTATTTATTTATGCATATATGTATTTTTACATTTCATGGTAGCCTATTTAGGTATATCCACCTTATTCCTAATTTAAAATGAACTAACAGCAGCAGAAAAGTCAAAGGACAGCCGACGACAGCCTTTCAACCTGAGTCAAAAACCAGTGAACGTAACTCTGATTGGCTGAGGCAGCATATCGTCATAATCCAACCTGTAACGTCAGCCACTCTGATTGGCTGAGGCAACGTGCCAGGCATGTGGCGTGTTTTTTTAAGCAGAAAGTAACTACACAGATATTCAGCCTGCTTCGCCGTCATGATCGCTGGGGAACCCATCTTTTCCTCTAAATTGAAGGTAAGTTCGTCCAGCTTAGTGAATTCTATGTCCATGTCTAGTTATAGTTTTTGGTAGTTAAGCGTTTTTGTCTTAAACTTCACAAATCGGCTGTGATTACTGCCGCGAATGTCCAAGGGTGTTAACCTAACGGAACAGTTTTTTGTTTTGCGTTAGCTTGCTGCTCTTAATTCTTTTTTTGTTTCATTTCAATTTGAACAAATTTGGGACACTAAACTGTACGTTGGGTTGCACGTTGTTATCTGGCTGCAAGTTAGCTACCATTCTTTGATAGTAATCAAACTAACTCATTCACTCTGAATATCGTCAGAAATTATGAAAAAATAATAAGTGCCAGGGTCCTAAAACAAAGCGCGTAATGTGCTTGTATGCTCTAGTGTAGGCTATCCTTGTTTGTAAAATTGCATCACTTTGTGTGATGAGTGAAATCTTCAGATGTTTGTGATTTGTTTTGTCTCTCAGGGGCTGTTAGGAGTGAGGTGTCCTTCGCTGATGGGAGAAAAAACACCTAAATAAGGTAACGTTACGTGTTGTGATCTCATCCTCTTTTCTTTTGAACAGACCCCAGTCAAATAAAAAGTAAAACTAAACTAATTTGGATTAACGTCTGTGTTTATAGATGACTTTGAGCATGAGACAGTGGTGAAAACGCCAAAGAGAACTGGAACATGGCATGTTATATTCAGTTATAAATGTTTGACCAAGTTTTTAAATATCTTATAAATCTGTTCAGTTTCATCATTTGATAATAACTTTTAAAACACATTTTTTTGTGGTATAGATGCAGTGACTGAGACTGGGAGATGCAGTGACTGAAACCTGGTGGTAAGTGTTGATCTATTGGCAGTGGAGAAGACACTTTTAATAGACACCTTCTCTCTTGTGAGCTAGCAAACTTTGTTATTCTAATTAGAGCATTGCAAACCTCACCAAATGTGTTCGTTTATTTCAGTGTTCCAGAAAAAGGTCCTGAAACTACTGGTCGACATCCGCCATCGCCTGAAGGAAACCAGGTAGTGGATGCAGAAGAAACATATTTTTGCTTACAAATGTGGGGACTTGGGGCAGATTGCCTTTGCATACATCTAAATCATTTGTCTTTTTCAACTTTGCAGAAGGGGTCATGAAATTCGGTTCCACAGCCACTGAGGTGTATGTACATCAAGGTGAACCTCAAGCACGCGTCGCAAAGACTTAAATTCACTTCGCCCTGATGAGCCAAGCCTACAGGACTTGAATTAAGAGTTTTAAAGGGATAGTTCACTTTGAAATTATTTTTTGAAATGTTTTGGCTTACGTCAAGGGCATCAGTCAGTCATATAATGGAAGTCTATGGGGATCTCTTAAAAGAGCATGCACAGAGAAGTACAAATTAAACATGATTTAATGAATCATAACTGTAAGTACACCTTGATGGCTTAAGATACGAGACGAGCGGTTTGTGTGAGAAAATGAACAGTGTGTGTGTATATATATATATATATATATATGATCTGCGCATGCGGCGGAAAGTGCCGGAAGCGATCTTGCACTGGTACGTCACTCATTGTTTACACAGATTTCGGAAGTTTTACTGTGAAGATCTAAACATATTAAGATGTATTGCATTTTGTGTATATCTAAATATATATATATATATATATATATATATACACACACACACACACACACATTTATACAATATAAATACTGTTTGTTTTCTTTCCCAAAACGCTCATTTCGTGTCTTAGTCAATCATTGTGTACTTAATTTATGAGTCATTAAATCATGTTTAATTTGGTCTTCTTTGTGCATGCTCTTTGAGGTGGTGACCATAGACCTGCATTATATGACTGACAGACAACAACAGTTTGACCTAAAAATATCAAAATTGAAAATACTGTGGAAACAAAACCACCTGCATCTTGGATGCCCTTGAGATAAGATAAAACATATCAAAAATTTATTTCAAAGTGAACCATACCTTTAAATTACATCCTTATTATTCGTTCATAATTCTGGCTCCACTGTACATTGTGTTTGATATATCTGGTGCCCAATTCTGATGCCATTCAGGGCAATTTATTTTTGAATAGAGATACAATATATTATTGATTTATTTGTATAACTGTAGTGCTGTATGTATGTATGTTGTCCCATGTTTCCAGAGGGTGGAGGACATGTTTTCTGTGCTTTGAAAGATGTTCTCCTATGCTGTGTACATAGTTTTGTGTTTGTTCTAATAAAGCTATTTCTTTGAATAAACAGTATGTGGCAAATGTTCCTTTCCTCAATAAATTCATGTCCTTGATGGTAATAATAATTTAGTCCATAGGATAACAATGACATGAATAAACAACATAATAGCATATCATATGAATATGAATATATATATATATGATTATTATTATTATAATTTTATGTCGGCTGACCAATAGTAACAGATCTGCCAACCAATCACGAGTGATTTTCTTGTTTAAATGTAGTGAATTTCAACCAATACTGAGTGAGGAAATTCAAGCCATTCTCTGGCAAGGCGCGCGCAGTGCTGCTATTCATATGCTAATTAGGGCCATTTGCACCTCCGCGAGCGCTGCATGCATACGTCATGGTTCGTTTCCGTCAATATGTGGCACAGTGGAACGCGACGTTCACAGTCTGTAAATTGTCGTTAACTGCCGAAAATTAGGGAGATTTCCGGCAGTTTACGGGGACGAAAATCCCACTTTTCATGCAGTGAGAAACCAAGCAATACATTAAATTCATACAAACAGTAAAGCAAAAGTGTAAATGTGTCATGCATGCCACACCACCACTGCTATGACACATGCTATAGTAGCCTTACACTAACAGTGAATATATGATGAAAAATACTAAATGAAATCTTACATCTTATTAAAAATACTAAATGAAATCTTACATCTTATTAATCGGTCATCACTTGAGAGGCTTTTTCTCTGTGGTCTGGGTGTTTCGTGATGCCATGGTGACTGTATTGCCTGTCCGTGAGACTGTAAAGTTAAATCCCGTTGCCTGCGATGTTCTGTGAGGTCTTGTGAACTTCTCTACTTGCCATGGCTGCAGTAGCCTCCTCATCGGGGTCATTTTCATCCATTAGTCGCCTGTTTCATCTTTAGGAAAGGTACATTTTTTTAATGATTACTAAATTTGATTAAGAAAGTGTGGTATGGTCATGTAAAGACTATTCAGTGACAAATTCCCTTTTTGCAATTCAAAAAAAAAAAGTGCATTATAATGTGTTAAACTGCACAAATATATAAGGACCTGTAAGAAAGGTCTATGTTAATGAATTAACGTTAAAAAATAATCAATCTTACTTTATTTTCCGTTTTGGTGGCCTCAGAAAGATCAGCTGTTGTTCAGCAAGAAGCAGCTTCCGATGTTCTTCACTATAATGTTAATTTTCAATGAAAAACAGAATTCAAACATCAATTCTATTTCCTCTCCAACATAAAAACAAATAAAATCCAACCACACAAACCCCCCAAAAATCGTATCTAGTAATGCGCTATAGATTAAAATCCACGTGTTAAGATAGTGAAAAACTATAAACTTACCTTGATCATGTATTAAAACATCAAAAGATAAAACCAACACAGCGTGATTGTCGAAGTTAGAACAACTAACTTAGTTATTTGAATTTCACCGCGACTGCGTTGAGTTGCTGAATAGCTGCTACGCAACTTCCGGATCCTCTGGTAGGCGGGATGGTGTCACTGGGTGCATTCTGGGAAAAGTAGTCTTTTTGCAAAGCGGATTTAACACTGTACATGTAAATCAACTACAATTTCCATGATGCATTGCAAACCAGATTGTATCAGCAGCCACAGACGTCGCATCGACTGCCGCGTGGTTTGCTCACATTGCTCTAAAAACACGCAAGTTTCCCGGAGATTTTTAAAAACAGAACCACGTTTTATTTAACCGATTTCAATGGTTTACGTGGAGAACATAAATGTTTCTTCTCCAAATACTTACAATAGGCTATGTATAGGCTATTTTATGGAGATTATATAATTTTTTTATTGAGGAATTGTGAAAACTCAAAGCATGGGTGGTTTTTGCTTCAAAAAATCATAGTTTAACCATGGGTTTTTGTAGTACATCTGTAGGCTACCTAATAAATTCCCCAAAAAGTGAATTTTTGTGTGTGTGTGTGTGTGTGTGTGGCATATTGATTACCATTTGGATAACCACAAAGTACTCTTTCAGTTCCATTCAATCTTTTGTCTATGCTGCAGACTGAACCATTTGTCTTCAGTCATTTTGCAAACATCTTTTTTTTCCATTCTGCAATCTGCACATTATCACCTCCTTAACCCCCCCATTAAAATAATCTTGCCAATAGAATAATCAAGGCTTCTTTCCTTAAAACCTGCCTACTTATGTGTAAAAGAGAACTATTTGCATACATATCTATATGTATTTTTAACTAGGTCTATAACAAACTTATTTCATTTTATTATTTTTAACAAAATTAACCCTATTTATGAGGTTGCATTATAATTATGTCTAAAATATGAACCAATTTAACACCACATCTTACACGGCTATTTTACAGTACAGCACTTTCATGAGGTCTGTTATTTGCTCAGCCAACCAAAACCCAACCAGATCTCAGCCAAAAATTTCCTTATTCTGGCAGACCGAACTCAAGCCAAAGCTTAGCCAAACAGATACAATTTGATTTGTTTCTTTTGGTTAGCCAGACTCCAGCCAGAGCTTAGCCTAGTACTGTTTGACACAAGAGTGTGAAAAAAACAGTGCCAGAATTAAGCCAGAAGTGCCGAATATAAGCCAGACTCGGCCCAGACTTTGTTGCTATCTGGGTAGTTACTGCGAGTTACTGACATGCACATAATTAAAAAGAAGGTCCAATCGAAGCTGCCAGATCATCAGACAAACAATATAAATTCAAAATGCACTGATCGAATCCGGTAAGAACGCATTCATCTTTATCTTTCCTAATGGACTTATGTGCTTATTTGAAAATGTGCTATTTAGAGATTGGGATTTTTTTTTAATTTTTTATTAAGCCTATTAAAGCATCATGTTAACATCACTTCAAAAAGACATCTAATATAAAATCTATATTTATTCACCTATAGGCTATAATAATAAGTATAGAGTAGGCTAGCCTACGTTTTCTGATGAAATTCAGGTCTGCTTTCATCGGCGCGAATGTTTTGGAATGTTGAAGTTCTGAACGTCGCAAATTCGCGTCGCGGCTGATGTGAATGGTTTTGACGCGAAATATTCTCACGCGAACTATTCGCTTTTTCGTTTCGCTTTTCCGTTACGCATCCGGTGTGAAAGGGCCTTAAAGGAGTTGTGTTTACTCCCGGTTCCGGACACTATTATTAAACAGCGCTGCAACATCCAGTGAGAAGCGTTTCCATCGGACACTACTCTCTCTTACAAACCACAAATCGCTCAATGATTTTAACTAGTTTTAAATCGGATGAAACAGCCTTAACATTCCCAACACTATACTGATGAGGTAAATAGCAGAAACATAAACAAATTTAGAAGACTATAAATGCCCTAATCACCACCATTACAAACATTTACCATGTAATAGCCTATGAATGTAATAATTTACCATGGTTTGGGCATAAATGTGGAATATTTATATTGAATACTATGTTATAGTCATTTTGCATAAGATTTATTAGGGGGGTAGAGGAATATAATTAATTGTGTGTACCTAGTTTTTTTGTTTAGGCATTTTTATACAGTGGTAGTAAGCCATGCATGGTTACAAAGTCTCACTGTCAGGATATTTTAATTTAAGCCTATAATAATTATTATAGTAAATTGTGTACACTGTAATGATGAGAATATGAAAGCAATGATATGTCCTGTCAACTCTTCCTTTCTCATTTCCTCTGCATTTCGCTTATCGTCAACAACAGGTTAATAAAAAAATTGTGCTTTGTCAAATATCTGTATCTCTTTTAAATAGTTGACTGGAATTCTTAACTGACCTTAAAAATGGTCATACATATTTTGTTAATGCATAAATTCTCTTCGTGATATATGAACTATATGGGCCTAATGTTTATTGGGTCACAAGGATTTATCGACTTTAAAATGTGGGTCCCCAGAAAAAAAGTTTGGGAAACACTGGCCTAGCCTATAGTGACTGCTAATACAGCCATCGAGCAGCAGATGGTAGTAACAGGCTGGAACTTAGTTGTAAACCTCAAAGCAAGACAGGCAGATGATAATGAGACAAAATGGATCATTTTAAATACCTCTTTTTGTTCACGTTTGAAGTTGCAATTTTTCAAAGATACAAAAGTGTCTTGAAAAAAAAAATGAGAGACTGAAATGACTAGCAATTAAGCTCTGTCTTGTTTTAGACTCTCTTGTTTTGGACTATGTTTGGACGACTGCTGATATCAAGCACACTCCCTGCATTGTTCAACCTACCTCAGGAAATCATCTATAACCAACACCACTCGCTGTGAAAACAATAAGCCTGATAGTCAACCCAGTACTCAAAATGTTAAATAAAGCCCCAAACATAGTTATAGTCCTGTTTATGCCAAGTAAATGAATGGTTACTGACCATCATCATTAACAGTGTAAAAATAATTTGATTTGATTAGTTTATTTCAGCATTATACTGATGGCCAGCTATAGCTAAATTGATTGTGAAGACTGTCTGTGAGCTTCCTGTTTTGCAAGTGTGCTTAATGGACCATATTTGTTTAAAGTTTCCACTCTTGAGATAGAGACTAAAGTATTGGCAAAACTGTCTCAGACATATCAGACTCAAACCCGTATTCTAATATATTTGTTGATTATGTGTCTTTCATTGGACAATGGATTTTGAAAAACTTTATACAATTATGAGTTGTCTTTTTCTGTCTCATGCATTTATCCAAAGTATTAACTATAATAAAAGATTGAAGCAACAATTCTTATATAATTTGCCTTGAAAATATAAAAATGCAGAAAGTTTTCTGTAGCTATAGGTTATGGGTCAGCAGAGAGAGAGAGAGAGAGAGAGAGAGAGAGAGCTTTTAGCTTTTATTTTACTTGTTTAATATTATAAGTTTTATAAGTGTTTTTAACCCAAGTTAAGCTTATCAATATCATGAAATACTGTACTCTGTATTTTGTTCATTCTTATCATAAATAATAGTTATCTTGTGATAATCATACACTTCGTTGCGAAACTGTTGCGATATGGATCTGGCTAATGTAGGTCACATTACTCAATATAGGCTGCTGTCATTGCAACATATTGACCATCTGTGACAGCAATAGAGCATGACAGATTCATAAATATTTAACACCCACAAATGACTTGTTGGTATTGAATGCTCTGTGCCATAATCTTTAACACCGATGCCTTGATCTCGCTTTTATGAACAGGGTTCCCACTCATTTTGACCATTGATTTTCCATGTTTTACAAACATTCATGATTATGGGGTAATGTTTTCTAAAAAATTATTTCAAAGTGATTACACTCATCAGCAGAAATTTCGAACACAATTGGAAAATTCATAATTTCCCCACCATTTCCCTTACATTTTTCCATTCATGAAGATTTCTACCTAATTTAAATCAGTGGGTTTTCTACCTGCATGTAAATTATAAAAGTGTAAACTTGACAAGCTAAGGGGAAGGGAAATGACAGGCCAGATTTAAGCATCTCCATGAGAAATTATGTTACTATATGAATTACCGATTGTGCCACAACTCAAGCAGCAGTTTCCTTGTTGTGCCACAAGTTGGCTAAGGAAGCCTAATAGACTTGCAAAAATGTGACAAACTAACAACCTCCTTATATCTAAATGTGTGAAGACCGTAGCACTTCAAAATGTATGTATAATATTTATAATCCTACAGTGACACTCATTTATACAAAATAATAAAGCAAAGGAAATAACTCCGATCCACAAACTGCCAGGGGCGGGTCCACGTGGTGGCCAGGGGGGGCACCGGCCCCCCCTGAAATTCGGTTGGCCACCCCAGGTGCCCCCCCTATAAGACGTCTTGTGATTGGTTTATTTTACGGCCAATCAGTTTATAGACTCTACGGAAGTTTGTGATTCAAAGAAGTGCAGCGCCAGAGAAACAACGGTCAACATATTACTAATGCTGCTGCGTTGCGTAGTGTGAGCGGAAAGTGAACGTGTTCGCCGGGCTGGTCATGTTAGCGCGGAGGTACCTGTGCATCCCGGTAACGTCAGTCCCCTCATCAGAGCGGCGTTTTCAGCGGCTGGACTGAAGCATTTGTTTACACTCGACGCGTCCGCAAGCACTCGCAGTCTGCAGAGACTCGCGCTTACGCGCTGAAGTGCCAGCCAGGCGAAAGTGTAAACAAGGCTTGACGGTCACCATACAGGTTGCGGTCGCGTCTGACCCCAGATCATGTCATCAACATGCTTATCTTTCTCAACAAAAATCAGTAGACTGGAGCAGAAGTTGTATGCGAGTTATTTTTTATGAAGCTTAAAGTAGCCCATAGAAAGTAGCCTAGCCTTATTAATTGTCAGGTAGGCTAATCTCTCTCACCCTTTCTCGACTCTGTGCCTTATGAGTTTCATGTTGACAAAACCTGTCAGATCTAAATGTTAATACGTTTTTGGTTAAGTTATTTTTTATTATTATTTATTATTTTGGAACAAACGAGGGTCTCACGAGGGCCAACTCGCAGCTGCAGATTCAGTTGCCTTAGAGCACCGACGCGCATATCTTCAAATTTAGCCTAACCAAACGCTCAGTTTAACTGCCACAACACGCTTTATTTTTGTATTTTATTGCATTTTTAATTTATAAAAAGTGAAATATAATAAATTTGAATAAAAAAATATTAATGATTAAGCGATAGTCGATCGTTAATTCTTCCGACGATCGACTAAGAAAATTTAACCGAATGGCCATCCCTAGTTCAGTCAAAGTTTAATAAAACACAAAAAAATTATAATACGCTGGGCGCTATCAAACAAATTAATAAACACTGTCATGGTGATTTTGCATATTTTGTATCAGTTTATTTTGTGACAGTGAGTGACCACATTATAATAATTGTCTGGTGACACGTACGTTACTTGTTAATGCATGAGAGTAAGTCAGTTAGATAGTCAGTTAAATTGTGAGTCCTGATTTAGTAATTTATATGTGAAATGACAGCCCTAGAAATGACATGGATGCATTCTGTGCATTTCATTCACAATTTGAATTGTTTTTGTTGATATTGAGAATAATAGACAAACATAAGCCTAAGTGTTTCTTTTTTGAAGGCAGGGAAGAGAGCAGTGCCAAGTCATGAAAAGAAGTAAAGATATAGGGAGTTTCTTTAAAAAAAAAAAAAAAAAAAAAAACACAAGTGTGAGGCAGAAGCAACTGAAGAAAATGTCAGGCAGCAAGAAAAAAGTGTCACTGGAACAGAATCAGCCAGCAAGGAATCAACAGGCCAGACAGACAGTGATTAATTATTATTATTTGAAAGAGATTGTGAATAAAACTACTGTTATTGTAATGGCAAAACTAATTAAAAGGAAATAGTTGACCTTGTTTCTGCTTCTGGGTTTAAAATTGCTCATTATTAAAATTGCTTTTATTTTATAAACTTATTAGTTTTATAAAAACTAAAAATAATAAACACTGGCTCTCAAATTTAACTTAATGGACAGGGATGCCAAAACTAAATTAATCAAAAATGTGCTTTATTACTACATTTGTTTACAAGTAACTTTATTCAAGTTAAAAAAATAATACAAATCAATAGGATTTATGTAATATACTGTAGAATTTAGCTTTTTTTTGGTCACTGGTGGCCACCCCATTTGGAGGCAGTGCCCCAG